CAGAGGGGAAAAGAGGTTAGCATTGACTGCAGCAGGGCTGAGGATCAGGTTAGTATAATGTCTTTATTTCATTCCCTAGACCAAAACAAGCGGTTAACCCTTGCAGTGTGGGGGTAGCCCCACTGCAATGGTTAATGTTTTTAAATCCTGGAGTTCTTCTTTAATCTGTCATAGTGCTGCCAAGTCTCAGTACACAATGAGAGCTGCTTTTGCCAACTAAAAGTGTGCCGCCCCACACTAAATAGAAGTTTATTTAGATAAGAATTATATATAGATTGTTTCCCTATACCTTTTCCTATGGACGTTTTATATATCTAGTGCCTATGCTGCCATCTAGTGGCCTTTGTGATATTGCACCTGTTTTTCTGTATGACAGTTGTTCTGTATGTAAGCCCACCCATCGTTTTTGTTGTCAGTTTTCCAGTGTCATAGCAACAGCTAACAGCCACTTGTAATCAGGAGACAGCCACTTGTAATCAGGAGACATGTACTCTGCATAGTACGCTAGGAAAGGCATAATTTTTTGACCGCACAATACTATAACCATTCATCTGCTGTTCCTATCATTTGCTGTAACCCTGATGTTAAAGAATAAACACCTCTTTTGAATGAATCGGTATTGACGAGTTCAGCTATCTGACAAGGATTGTCCGCAGTGAGTATATCTGCTTATACAGGCCAGGCATAGAGGTCTCCGCAAGGGATATATCGCTATCACAACAATCGGAGTCAGAATAAAAAGTATAATCTGTTACTTTATTTTTTATGTTTCAATGTCTTCTGGCTGTTACCATAGTTACTGGCACATGCAAATATCACCAAAGCTCACTTCAAATCTCCTGAGATTTGCAGTCAAAAGCAGCAGAGTCTTAGATCTCACACTGAAAATGTACAGCCTAGGCACTCTCACATACCTTACTGCTAATTTTCAGGAAAAAGTCCAGATAAAAGATACCTTTAACATTACTAGACATTCCCTAAGACATTGCACATCTGCACTTTCAAATTCAGTTCCACTTTGAGACTTTCAGGTTGCAATGAAAAATGTTTTACTTGTAGTGAACATGTGGTATGTTTCATCTTCATTTATACACTTGTATATGTTAAAAGCCCTATACCAATATACCAATACTGTATTGTCACCCTATTTGAGAGACACTGAGCCTTGACACATATACATTGAAAGGATTGTTCACTTTTTATATGGAGAAAAATTATCCGTCTTTTTGACTATTTTGTGTACTATTTGGTAAATAAGTAGGGGAAACAACTACCCCTTACTCATTCACAAAGGGGGGGGGGCATCTGCGTGCACTCTTTATGAAAGGGGGCACCCAGATGCATATGAGCCCCCCTGCCCGCAGACCCCCACAACCAGCAGGCCAGGGTTGTGGGGAAGAGGCCATTGTCCTCATTCCCATGGGGACAAGGTGCTTTTTCAGATGTTGAGGGCATGTGCCCTGGTACACTGCTAGGATTAAGAGTTTGGTAAGTTTGGTATGTAATTTTAGGGGGTACCCCATTTTTTGGGGGGGGGGGGGGGCATTGGGGCCCCCCTTAAAATTTCTACTAGACCTAAAGGGTCTGGTATGACTTTGCAGGGGAACCCCACACTTTTTTTTTGTTTTTCTTTTAAATTCCATTTTTAACAACATTCAGGATTCAAGTCCTGTGTGTCCAGCTTTGCCAAGCCGAAGCCTGTTAGTTCGGCTCAGCTGTTTGAGAATAGCACGTACAGCAGCCCTTCGTTTAGGCTAAACCGAAGGGTTTCTGCAGCCGAAGCAAGCCAAAGGATTAGATAACAATTAGGCTAAATCCTTCGGCTCTTTAGTGAATGACCTCCTCAAAGTATTAATCTTAACTTCTGTTCCTTATTAACCGAAATATAACTGTTGGCATTTTCTCAAGATATGAGATTTTCATTTGACATGCTTGTATGAATTATTGACCCTTGGGTATGTGTCTTTGAGTAATGACACTGAAGCATTTGAAGAATTGATGTGACTTATTTTGTTTTGCACTGCATGGACAATGAACACTTAACAGCACTGCAGAGACCCTGCACATCTGTTGTATTACCCAATGAATGCTTATGTATCCCAGTGGCAGAATGAGGAAAGAGAGATCCCCAGGGACATAACTTCACTGTGTAGTTGTACATAAATGCTATCAAATTTATCTAGGAAATAAAATGAGGGCATGAATTCTACTAAGCATAATGTGACAAGATGACAGAAAAAGATTGAGATTAATTGCAGGAGGCATGTGTTCTCTGATCTCAAGATGAGAGAACATACTAGCAAGGAATGTTTTTTGTGTCTTGTAGTTCTGTAATGTGTGGTATACGTGCCATTCCTTCACAGTATACTAGAGACTATTGTATCCTCTCCTGTTCTTATTGAAGCAGTTGGAAGGCACTGACCCAGCTGTAATAGATTAACCTCTTGCAGTCCGCCCGTAGTAAAAAAACGGACGGACGGCACTGCTGCATTTGCGGGTTTCCGTCTCCAGACGGCAATTTTTTTCTGCTCGCGCGCGCCCCCTAGCGGGCACGCACGGGCAGAAAAGACCCGACCTTTAAACACACCCGTTACCGGGTGTTTGACATATAGGCGATCAGCGGGTCCATAGCCCGCCGATTGGAATAAATGTCAGTCAAAGTACCGCAGCGCTGAATACTGAAAAATGGCCTGGATGGGAAGGGGGTTTAACACCGCGGATGTCAACTGGTTAAAGGCCTGCTCAGACTTTACAGGGGCAGCCTCAGCCTTCCGGGCATTATTTCTGCATTGCATAAATAGATAAGAGCTGGAATGCCCAGGCTGTGGCAGCACCTTAAAACAAAAGCGCTGGCGTCAGGTGGCTGAACAGAGAAGTTGAGGACTTGAG